GATGATGAGGATGGTCACCGCTGCTTGCTGTTTGCAAAGTCCTCACTATGCACGCGGTCACATGTGAATGAATCTTAATCTATTCTCCGACCTTGCCGGGAAGGAGGTACCATTCCTGCATTTGACAGACCTGGATCCTGAGACAAGCACACCCAGTACCTAGCCCAGGTCACAACCGGGTGGAGTTTGAGCCCAAAGAGTCTGAGTCCAGCCTCATGCCGCCGAGTGCCTCAGGAGCACTGTGAGGGCGGGCGGCTTCCTTCCCTGTGTCCTGAACACTGTGCTGCTGCAGGGAGGCCTTGGGCTCGCTCCCCAGAGAGCTCAGCTTGGAAGGAGCTTCTCATCCCATTCAGAGGTGAGGGGACAGCGGGAGAAGGCCTCTTGCTTTATCGGCCAGCACTCCGTAAGACTCACACATCTCAGGCCACTCAAAACCAAAACTGCGCCACCAAGATCTGAAGCCATTCCTGACTTTCTTGTCAGCAAACTTGGAAAGTGGCTCCTGTTCCTTGATGCCACTCAGAACTGCCATCGAGCGCTGCCCACAGCACTTAGCATGGAAACTGAACATCATCAAAGGAATTGCCCTAGAAGTCATCACCTCCCTGGGTTTTGTGTTTCTACCTCCCTAGGCTGTTGGGCTAACCCTGGACCATTCCCTTGGGAACCAGGACAGGGTAAGGTGGCATTCCCACACTCACCAGGCTGGGCTACAGGTTTCTGGGGGGAACAGAGGTGGTTTCCCTGGAATATGCAAGAACTGACAATTGCCTGGGCCCCTGGCAGTCGGGCGGTCCCGGCCCTCCCTGCACTCACTTGGACCGTGTCTGCAGAATCCACTCGGGCGCGTGGCACGTGACGTGTCATCCTCAGCAGGGAGCGGGTGGAGGGCATCCGAAGAGGGAAGGAGCAGGTGTCTGGAACTGGGGGTGGGTACTTTCATGGCACACAAGGACCCCCAGCAGCTGCTCAGGGGGCTCTTCGGGGAGTGGAGGCATGGTTATGGGAGTCTTGATTCTTGGAAGTCATCCACTGCTGATGCCGTCCTGGGATTCTCTTCTACACAAGAAACATTGAGTTCCTACCGGGTACCTCCCAAGCCCTGGGGGATGCAGCGGAGAACAGAAGAAACCTCCTGTTCTCTAGACAAGGCCTTTGCCCTCATTCTCACAGCCGTGCCGCCCTGCCTACCTGCCCACAGCCATCAGCCTCACCTGCCCACACTCAGCCCCCTCTTCCCAGCCGTCTCCACACTCTGCTCTGCTGGGGCCTGTCCAGTCGCCCCTTGATCTCTGACCCACCCGTCTGGCCGCCTGCCTCCAGGAAATGTCGGCTCTCTTACACAATGCTCACTGTCAAACCCTCCAGCCTTCCCCACCATCCCCAGGGAGCCTTGCCTCACCCCTACGGCGAAGGCTGCAGGTCTTGTGGTGGCCACAGGCCTAGGGAAAGCACCTGGGCCTTGTAACAACTGCCACCTGGTGGCCAGGATGGGGACGGACTCTTTTGACGGCTGCCCAGCAGCAGGGTCCAAGGGGATGGATGGGGCTGGGTGGTCAGGTGCCCAGTAAACAGTGGGATAGGCAAGAAATGGCCTCAGGAATCCTCTCTGGGACAACTGAAAGGTGCCCTAAAGGCCTGTTTTTAACCAAATTTACTCCAGTGGATACTCAAACCCTAGGGGTTCACCAGAAGCCGATCCCCCAAGCCCAATTCCCCATTTCTAAGATGGTGTCAACCAGGGCTGGGGTCAGAGGGGCTGCAGGGCCCACATGGCAGGCACAGTCAGGAGAATGTGAAGGGAGGGTCTCTAGGTGCCCAGCAGAGGCGTCCCTGGGATGCCTTCCTAAGTCAACCCAAAAGGTCCTTCTATCTGGTCCTTCACACCTACTTCCCAACAGCATATCTGGACTGGCAGCAAGGAACCTTGCCCTGCAGGATGGATCCATCCATCCATCCATCCATCCATCTATCCGTCCGTCCATCCATCCATCCATCCATCCATCCCTCCATCCATCCCATCCATCCATCCATCCATCCGTCCATCCGTCCATCCATCCATCCATCCATCCATCTATCCGTCCGTCCGTCCATCCATCCATCCATCCCTCCCTCCCTCCATCCATCCGTCCATCCGTCCGTCCGTCCATCCGTCCGTCCATCCGTCCGTCCGTCCATCCATCCGTCCGTCCGTCCATCCGTCCCATCCGTCCGTCCGTCCGTCCATCCGTCCGTCCATCCATCCATCCGTCCGTCCATCCCATCCATCCCATCCATCCATCCGTCCGTCCATCCGTCCATCCGTCCATCCATCCCGTCCGTCCATCCGTCCGTCCATCCGTCCGTCCGTCCGTCCGTCCATCCATCCATCCATCCATCCGTCCATCTGTCCATTCAGCAGGGCCCATCCATCCATCCAATATCTACAGAGCAAGTGCCTTCCACACAGAACTTGGTTCATTAAGAAGGGAGCCTGCGCACACACAGTTGGGCTGCGAGAGATACAGGGAGACTTCTGCAGTCTGGGTCCCTGAGGTGCCAAAAGGAAACAATGACCACTCTTGGCAAAGACAGTCACTGGAGAAGCCACCTTGAATTGGAGGAGCAGAGAACCAGGGCCCAGAACTTGAGTTGCCAAGGATCCCAGGGCAGCTAGGAACCCAGCAGGGATTCAGGGAAAGGACCTGAGATACCGAGACTGCCAAAAGCCGACAATGCCGCCTCCAAGAGGACCCGGTGAGGGATCTGTGGCTGGAGCTCATCAGGGACTGAGCAGGAGGCTGTTCCTGGACCCCTGGGGATCCACGATGGATGCCAGCTCCGGCCAGGCTCCACCTTCCAATGGGAGGTCCAGGAACCTCATGAACCAGAAAGGGCTGGCTTTATCCTGCAGCCCACATCAGTCCAACTGGATGACCAAGTGCACGGCTGCCTCCCCTGGCTGGCTCATCTGGCAGACCTTCCCTAGGAGAAGGTAGGGAGGCCGAGGACCCTGCTGTTCCTGGGTCTCCACTGGGCAGCAGGAAGGACCCCAGGGGTCCAGTGCAGGACAGACTTTTCCACTGGTCTTGGGGCCTGGCAGCTTCATCCCGTGTCTGGGTAGCTGGTTCTGATTTCAAAGCTCTGAGTTCAGATATGTACCCTGGCCTTCTGGGCTGCTCAGGTGAGGCTGACGGTGGTCACTGGTCTGTGTTGGCGCCCAGCCACACTGCCCTGGGTCTCACCACGTTGTCAGGCTAGTGAGGGCTCTTAGCTCAGATGAGGGGTCCTCACGTCTCCTCAGTTTCCACACAGAAGGGCCCCGCCACCATTCATCAGCTGATCACATCCACAACTGTATAGCTCACCAGTGCTGATTTTTGAGGGCCTGGAAGCTTGCAATCCCGTGTGTGTGTGGGAGGCCACCACTGATCTCTCCACGGTGCATCCTTGCCCTCAGATACGTGATCTTGTCTTACCCAGGTGAGGCCTAAGTGAGGTCTCCCCTCCCTAGACTTACCGTGGACACTTACCAACCATGCAGCCACACACCCTGCGGCACACCTACACTGTGCTGAGGCCCTGGGACTTACACCATGTCCTGCCAAGTGCCATCTCCCTAGCCCACCTGCAGTGGAACCAGCGGGGCTGCTGAGCCACCATGTCCAAGCTGAGGATGCATTTCCAGGAACAAAGGGGCAGAGGGCACGCCTTGGGGCAGCAAGAGGTGAGGGCCCAGCTTGGGGGTGCTGCTGGAGGACAGCACCATTTCCCTCCACCCCGTCCACCCAGCAGATGTCTGGTTAGCATTCCCTGCCCTCTTCCTCACATGCGTGCATGGCAGAGTGGTGACAATGGCCACAGCTGTTCACACCTGAGAAGCTGCCCAGCTCTGATGAGGCCTTGTTGTTGCATCAACCTACTATCTACTCAAAACGCTTGGGTCCAATCATTTGACCACCCTGAAATCTACACCTCACAGACCTGTACCTGCTAAACACAGCAGCTTCCTAAAGGGGGGCAGTCCCAGAGACCCACAAAGACAGCGCCTGGATTCCAGCCTCTCCCAGCCACCCCAGTGCCATCCTCTCACTCAAGACCTGGACTGAGAGCCACCTGGGGCTCCCGCGGCCGGCCTGTAGGCCCATTCCTGTGCCCTGGTCAGCTACGATGCTGAGCAGGACCCCTGCTGTTTGCCTCGAGGACCGTCACTGCGTGTGCCACTCGGGTCCTTGTATGACGATGCTTTCTCAGGTCCTGAGTGAGGCAGTGCCTGGTGCCTGCTGCTCCCCAAGTCTTTACCACGTGGCGGATCCTGCCTGGTTTGAGGGCAGTTTACCAACAGCCTTCTGGGCTGTTCTCTTCCCATGTCCCAAAACATCTAGAAACTCATGGCTCCATGCCAGATGACAAGGGGTGGACACACTTCCCGGGACAATCCTGAGGCTTCAGGAAAACGCCCTCGACAGGTTCTTAAGCCACAGCGCAGATTCCAACCATGCCTGCCCACGTGGCCATGTCCACACGCTGCAGGCTGCCTGCTGCCCCTTTGGAGGGTCAGAGCCCCCTAGGACTGGGATACATCTGCCACCCGAGGGCGACTCTAGAGCTGGGCGGGAGGGTGGGGTGCTGGGGCACTGGCTGGCCTTGGGGAGAGACAGGTGAGGGCGGCTCTGACGTCTCCTGAGCAGGGAGGCTGCCACACGCCCATACACGCTGGCGATGTCCACAGATTAGAGGTGTGGGGTGAATGGCGAGGGGTAGGGGAAGATGCTTTTAGTCCCAATGCCAACGCCTGCTTAGGGCCCATCCCGTTGCTTGGGGAGCCTCCGCAGAAAGATGGCGCCCTCACCAGGGAAAGCCTCTTCCCAGACAGAGGATGTTTCTGGAAGCCGCTCAAACAGGGTCCTGAGTAGCAGGGAACAGCCGACTCTCCCTCTGCTCCTTCCCCACCTAGCGTAACAGCCAGGATCCTCGCCCACTCTCCAGGAATGAGACAGCGCATGGGAGACACCCAGGGGTTGTAGTGTAGCTTGGTTTTATTTATGTCCACAAATATTTCAAAAAAATTACAAAATACTCAAATGGAGAGAACACAGAAGTCACGATTTCTGGGTGTCTACTGTTCACACTGTGTTATCTCACGGCGAACTACTCATATATACATTTAGCTTCAAGATATATAGAAATGTAGCAAATCCGAGTGTGCACTCTGCCTCTGCCGCAGTGGAGTGAAGCTCAACCTCGAGGACACTGAACAAGATACGGACACACACAGAGGAGCCAAACCAAACCCTGAACAAAGGGAGGAAAATCTGAAGGAAACCAAGTGGTTGGGCTTCAAAGACACCGTGAAGGTCAGGGCCTCCTAAACAAACTGTAGCTGACCAGGTGAGGGTTTCGGGTCGAGGGTTTTTTAGATGGAAGAATCTCAGTGCTTCGCCTTGGGATACGGGGAGAAAAGCAAACCTAACGAGAATACCTTCGGACAGTTTTCAAGTACAGACCTCAGAGGACTCGACTCTTAATTCTTTGGAAAAACGGATGACAGAGGAGGAGATAAAGAAGGTTTAACTGAATGGCAGATGTTGTGTTCTACCAAAAAGAAAGAAAAACCAAAAGCCGAGAAGGTAGGGGGCCCGGGCGCAGGAGTCCGGCAGCCCAGCAGGAAGAGGCCTCACTCAGAGCCATGGGAACAAGCCAGCCGTGAGAGCCTGTCCCCACCCCAGAAGGAGACGAATGCCTCCAAGCCAATGTGGTCTGAAGTCCCACGGCAGAAGGTGAATGTGAGCTTTCCTCCCCGCTAAGAAACTAAAGCTAAGGCAGAAATGGAATGAGAGAAAAATGGAAGAAAAAAAAACCTAGAAACATTTTCAACAGACAAAACAATCCTATCCCAACTGAAACCAAACATGGTTTTTAAGAGAAACTGGAAATGCCCCTATTTGACTCCAGAACCTGAATTTGAGCGAGTACCTGCTGGTTTCTGGATCGAACTATCAGCCTCTCTTCCTGCTCCCTCTGCGGCCTGGGTCCTAGGTGGACTTTGTGTCCTCTGACCCAGTGTGGTCTCTCTTTGTCCTACAATTCTTGGGATGGGACCAGCACAATGGCAGAAGAGCTGTCAAGTGTCTGAGAGAAAAGGATCGGAAGAGGACATGTCCTGGCAGGAAGCAGGGCTGACAGAGGGGAGACAACCTGGAAGAGCCTGCACTCAGCCTGGGAGAAAGTGCATTACGGCTGCACCCTGGAAAGGAGGGCAGGCTCTCTCCAGGACTGTTCCGCTCAGAAGGGCCTGGCCTCCTAAGAAGCGGCCCCCACAAAGCCGGCTTTCTGACTGCACATTTGTGGGTGGGACTCCAGTTCCCACTTCCAGGACGAACAGTGGCACTCAAATGGTTTCCCAGTGCGGGGTGAGGTCACCATGCAGACCTGCTCCTAGGGTGAAATACAGACTACCCCCAACACCTGTCTTAACTCCAGGATCTCCCTTGCTCAAAAGTGGCCTCAGTCTGTGGCAAGAATGACGGGGCCGTCCTCACCACAAGATCCAGGTGACAATGAGCACGAGAGGGCAGCCTTCTAACAGATCCTTTTGGCAGGCATATGTCCTGGGTTGCTCATGTGCTGAGTTATTTGTATGGAATCATTTTCTTGAATTTCTTAGATGATGAAATTTTCGGAGTATTACAAAAGACATTCATCCAGAACAATCAAGTGTGTGTACATAGAAATCTAGAAGGAAATCTACAATGGACACAGGCCCATGCGCTTTCCATCCCATGGAAACAGAACAGTGACACCGGAGAACAGAAAGTGAACATTCACCTCCTGCACTCCCTGTGCAAAATGGAAGAGGTCTGATGGAGCAGAAGTCTGCGCTGCTGGCAGAGCACAGGCTAGGAGCAGACACAAGTGAAACGCAAGGCAGCAAAACAGACAGTCTGTAACATCGTCCCTGCAAACCCTGGATGCTCGCTGCTGTGACCAGGCCTCGGCCCAAGCCTCTCTGTCCATGTGGAACGCCCCTTTGCTCCCTTTAATTAAAGGGATAATTATATATAACTTTTTATTAAAAAATCAACTCTGTATTCTGTCAATAGTTGGTAGGAATTCACAATTAGTGACATGGCTGGAAAAAATAGATCACAATAGTAGTTTATGGAAGAAAAAAAAGGCTGTTCTAAAATTATTTATTTACAGACGTAAAAAGCCATGCTGCAGAACTTTCTCAAATTATGAAGATTTCCTACAATGTATTAAAATAAAAGATTTTTCTAAAAATTATAGCTCTTGGATTCCAAATTCCTATGCCACCGATCTGCAAGCCTCGCGGGCTCTGGAGCACTCGTGGCGGAGTGTGTCAGTGTGTCTGCACGCACAGTGAAGGGTGTGAACTGGATTCTAGCACCTACTGAGAAATCAAGGAAAAGAAAACTAAAGCCAAACCCCAAGATTGCAGGGAAGCTTTCTGGATGTTCAGTCCAGTCCAGGACTCACTAAGTTTCTGGGGGACTGTCATGCAGGGAGATCCAAACCAGTCTCGGGAAATCCTCTCGACAAACGAACACTATTATGTGGATACATTTTTAGTTGTGGGTTTTTAAATATATAAAGAAATCTTTAGAAGATATTCTTTTTGCTTTTGCAGCTCCTATTGTATGTAAAAAGTCCTGTTTCTCCCCCCAAGAACTGGGGTTTCCACAGCCAGCATTAACAAATAAATAACTTATAACTGCTTGTCACCTTCTTTCTTCAGTCGACTGGAAAGACAAAACAGGAAAGCATATTTAGTCTCAGGCCTAGGCAGGCAGTCAGGCAGGCTGGGGGCAACCCCAAAGGCAACAGCCACGCAATCCAACCCCAAGCCTGCAGCCTCCTGTGTAGCTGACCTACCCTCCCAACACCTCCCTTCCTCTGCTTCTCCCATCACTGTGGTTCCGCAATGCCCCCTTCTAGGGCCCAGCAGGCCGAGGGGGAGGAGCCTGGCCCTGGGCACCACGGGAGAAGCACCGTGGGCACATGGGGGGTTTGGTGGGAGCCTGGGCTCAGATCCCCCTCCACTCCCTCCCAGCACCCCACCTCACCTGTAATAATCTTCCTGACTTGGTAGGTGGCCACCATGCATGTGGGGGTGTCCATGCAGCCACTGCTGCTCCATGGCCAGTCTCTGCAGCTCAGCCGACTGGGCGTGCATGGCCTGCAGCTGGTGGGCTGCTGACATGGGGGGTGGGATGGCCCCAGGCAGGTCTCGGGGATAGGGGGTGCCTGCCAAACACAAAACAACCTGCGCTACAGAAATAGCCAGAGGACTGGCCAAGACCGGGACAGCACAGGCACAGCAAACGGCAAGGAGCACAGGAGAGGTGCCAGCACGGACACAGGAGCCAGCCCCTCCCAGACTGCAGAAAGCCAGAAGGCAGAGCCTCCGGGGAGGCAGGAGGTGCCCTTGGGAGCCTCTGCCTGGACCCTTCCCGGCCCCTCCTCCACATGCTCCAGGCCTCAGCCCAAGTGCTTCTCCTTCAGAGACCTGCTATGAGCCCCCTCTGCTACTTTGACTGGTCCTGCAGTCCTGGCTCTTAGCAAGGCTGATGCATTTATGACCCCCTACCCCAGGCAGCCCCCAGAGTGCCAGAGTGCCAGAGTGCAGGCTTGTTTCCCCCACGGACCCCCTGCATGCAGGGGGAAAGAACCTGCCTGCTCAACGCATGAATGAATGAATGAATGAATGAATGAATGAATGAATGAATGAAGACAGCAGACCAGACCCCAACCCAACTCACACGGCCTCCCCGCCCCTCCTAGAGGGGAAGTCTTACCGAAAACTGGATGGCGAAGCATCTCGTGCTCGTGAGGCGGCTGTCCAAGCAGAGGGTTGGGGAGAGTGCCAGGCGGGTAGGGGAAGCGAGCCAGGTGGGGGCCAGCAGTCAGGGGGTCGACCAGTGGGTGAACGGGGCCTGCTGAACCTAAAGAAAGGACAAAAGGCCAGATGGAGGCGGCGCGCGGCTCTTCAATGTTTGTCCCCCTTAGCTGGAATGGCCGATGACTTCCTCCTAGCCCAAGCTGGCTCCGGGTCACCAGGGCCGGATGCACCACCTGGTTGCAGGTGGCCCTGCCCTAAAGTGGCTGCCTCCACCTTCAACAACAGCTCCAGAGGCAGAGAGAAGTGATGAGCCCACCGCTGATGCAGGTACTTCCTAGTCCCTTTGTGGAGCGCCCCCAACAGGCAATCCCAGTCCGGTTTGGCCAAGGATCCGGGATCAGCAGGGTTCCTCTCGTCAGCCACCTGGGCCTGCCCTCTGCCTGTCAGATCACAGGAGCATACAGCCTTGCCCCAACAGGTGTTGGGCTGGCACGCCCTGCCAAGGGCTGTCTCCCTGCCTTTCATTTGCAGAACCCAAAGGAGGCCAGTAGAGCCGGTGGCGCGGAATGGGGACCCGGCCCGGCACTGCCCTCTCTTCTCTGCTGGCGCCAAATCTTGCGTCTCTCCCTTCAGAAAGTTGCCTTGATCTGACCTCGCCACACCACCTCCTACCCTCACCTCCTATCCCCCAGCTCAGCCAACACAGGTGCTGGCAGGGATTTCAGGGTTGCCACCTCCAGCCACATTGCCCGGGGGTCCCTGGAAGGTTGGGAGCCCCCTCGGCCTCTGTGGCTGCTCTTGCCCCTGTTTCCCACAGCTTGCCCTTTCACCTCCTCCATGTCTCTGCTGCGTCCTCAGCGGGCCTCTCCTGACAGCCTTCTCAAAACTGCCACACTGCCCCTGCCCCCCACTCTCCTGATTCCCTCTTCCGGATTTATTTTCTTCCAGAACGTGCACTTTCCACCTCTCACAACCCAGCACACATCTTTCAACTATCTCCCCAAACTGGAAGGTGAATGTGGACAGGGGTTCTGCCAGCACCTACAACTGTGCCTGGCACATCCCAGGGGTTCAGTAAACACATGCTGAATGAACGATGCAGGAATGAGCAAATGACTACCTGTCCTCAACACTTGTTAGACCAAGGCTTGTAAGGTCTACACCAGGTGGCAACAGAGCTTCAGATATGAGGATGGCAATGGTGAGTGCTCTCCCATGCCAGGACTGGGTACAGGAGCAGGGGAGGCACCTGGTGCCTCCAAGCAAGGTGGCTCCCCACCCTCCCTCTGGGCCTTGGCCTCTCAGTCATCCTGCCCCACACTGGAGGGTGGCTGCTGAGGAAGCCCTGCACACAGGCTGTACCACGGGACCTGTACTCCCAAGTCCCATGGAGCGGTGAACCTGCCTCCTAAAGCACAGTAGCCACCCTCCTGCGCCATCTCACCTCTGCCTTAGAGCAGCCTCCCCACAGCTGGTGAATGAGCGGCCTTCAGGAGCTCCTACTCCCATGGTGGATAGGACTGGGCAGCCCTGGCCAGGTGGGTCAGCTCGGAGAACTCAGCCAAAGCCAGCAGGAGGCCTGCCCAGCCTCGCTCCTCAAGAGAAGAGGACTGTGCTTTTAATTCTCACCAAGTGACCCCTGAGTAGCGCAGTGCCTCATCTGTACGTTCCTTGGCTCCAAAGGCCACATGACACTGCTGTGCTGCCCTTACCCTGCCCCGTGGGCCTAGGCCACTTCCCTCCATCCCAGGCACAGGGCCGATAATACAGGCTTCACCCCTGTGTGCTGCAGCTGTCTGAGGCCTTGCAGTTCTGGAGAGCTGCAGGGCCAAGGACAGACTGTGATACAGCAAAACCATGATGGTAGTGGATGCTAAGATCTGCCAAGTATGAGGAATCTGTTCAGAAAAGAACACTTTCCGCTCCTGGATGGTGACTGTCACTCATCAGGCTCTGCACCCCTCCCTGTGCCACTGTCCCACCTGCCACGCCGGGGCACGCACCTTGGTGGAGGGGGTCCTGCTGGTGGAGGTGGAGGTGGGAGTGAATGTGTGAGTGCTGGTGATGGTGTGGAGTCACGTTGAACATCTGCAGTCGGGCCAGGGGGTCGCTGGTCAGTGACGCCATGCGCTCTGCGTGGATACGCTCTGCTGCCAGTCTGTCAGGGTAGCTCATCTCGGGCCGCAGCTGGGGGCCCGCCAGGGCCAGTCTCTCCCTCTCCAAGGGGTTCAGGCCCGGGTGGAAAGAAGCAAAAGGGTGGGGCCCGGCCGTCGGGGGTATGGTGAGGGCGCTGTGCCGGGCAAAGTGCTCCATGGGGTTGGCGGCTGGGTGCAGGGGGTCCAGCTCTGGGGGCTTCACCTCGAAGCCCGGTTTCATCCTCTCCCGCAGCTCGCGCTCCCGGATCTCCCGTTCCCGGAGCTCCCGCTCCCGGAGCTCCCGCTCGCGGATGGTGGGGTCGACGTTGTAGAGGCCAGGCATGTGGTAGGCCAGCAGGGGGTCCGTGGGGTTAAGGGGCATGTAGAAGGGGTGGTTGCGGTTGGTGGGCGACATGACGTGGGGCCGGGCGTACTCGCTCAGAGTCCGAAGGGCAGGTGTGTCAGGCCCGATGTAGGGGGGCACGGCAGCAATGGTGGTTGGTGGTGGCTCGAAGGATGGCCGCATGTGGCCAGGACCACTGAGCTGGGGGTCACTGAGACGACCTTCATGCGCTGAGCTGGATGCCTTCTGCGGAAGGAAAAGAAAACATGAGGGGTCCCCAGAGCGCCTGGGGTCTCCGCTTGACCCACAATGCGGAGGTGGGCCTGGTCCTGCTCCCGGCCTGCTCTGACAGGCCACCCTGGTCCCTCCACAGAGACCCGGCCCTGGCCTTGGCCTGACACCAGGATGCAGTCCAGGCCCTGCAGGGTCGGGCTCATCTGTGCCCGCAGCTCCCCTCAGGCCCAGATGGGAGTGTGCCCCTGTCAGACAAAGCTCATGCGTGAGGTGTCTACGTGTGAGGGTGTGTCTGGCAGTGACAGCCAGGGGGCACAGGTGAGTGAGCCCAGCAGGCCAGGAACCTCACCGGGAGCCCCTCATGCCACCTCCTGGGTTGGCTGCCCTCTCCTCCCGACGACAGCAGAGAGCTGGCCACCACCACAGCACCCAGCCCATGAGGCGGCCACAGGCAGGACAGCTGGAGAGGCCCCTCGAGGCCTGGTTACCGCCTGAGTGCTCGGGTCTTCTCTCAAGGCACCCCTTGTGCTTCTCCCTGGCTCCTTCAAATTACTTAGAAGTTATGAACCCAAAGGCTACAGGGGAAGGACAGGCCCTTTCCTTGAAGGCCCTCAGGCAGGAGGACGCCCAGTTACTGCTGGGAGTCAGCCTAGACCTGCCATGTGCAGTTACCCCGGCAGCTTGGGACGTGCAGCCCCCGTCAGGCGTGGAGAGAGGGTGTAAATAGCACCCAACCCTCTAGCTGCCAGGAGGCCGCGTCAGGCAGCCAAGGGCAGTGCTGGGTGGCCCAGCGTGGCTCCCAGGCGCAGGACGGACCAGCGCCCCCCTCACACCTCGCCAACCCTGGACTCACAGCTGCCCGCTCTGCCTCGCGCTCCCGCTCTCGTTCCCGCTCCCGCTCCTTCTCCTTTTCCTTCTCCCGCTCTCGCTCCTCTCGGGCTTTCTGCTCAGCCTCGCGCTTGGCCTTCTCAATGGCCTCCTCCCTCTTCTTGGCCAGCTTGGACCCGGCCAGAGGCATGAAGTACAGGTCTGTCCGTGCACACGAGTTGTAGCCCCGGTCCAGGTGTTTGTAGAACCTGAGAAAAGCCACAGATCTCGCTGGGAGCTCCTGCCAAAACCCACCCCGTCCCTCCCTCCCACCAGAACTTGCCCCCACCAGCCCCCCTGTGCCTGATCTGTCCCAGAGCTCTAGGAAGCTTACCTAGCTGACTGGCTGGCGTGGCTGGGGGTGTCCACCACAGTGGGCTCAGGGGATGGGCTCCTTGGTGGGGGAGGGGGGCTCTCAGGCTCCTCAGCGTCATCCAGAGCCTCCTCCTTGATCTGGACCGTGGGGAGTGGGCAGGATGACCCCCCTGCTATGCTGCCTCCTGAAGCCACCGCAGCAGAACAGGGTGGCTGGGCCGAGGTGCCAGGTCCCGCCGGTGGGGTAGAGGTGGAGGGGCAGGTCGGAGGGGTGATGGGAGGAGGGCCTCCAGGGACAAAGGGGTGCTGAGCAAATGGGGGTTGGGGGGCCACCTGGTGGAGGCCTGTAGGGGGGTGGGAGGCAGGAGGCGGGGGCAGGTTCTGGCTCTGGGTCAGCCCAGGGGGCTGGGCAGGTGAGGAGGGCAACGGCTGGCTCTGAGGCATGAGCTGCAGGGGTGGGGGGTGAGCCGACGGGGGATGGTGTGTGGACAGGGAGCTCAGGGGCTTCAGGGCTGGAGGGGGCGGCAGGTTGGCATTCATGGAGAAGGGCGAGGGCCCTGAGAGGTGGGGAGGGTGCTTGTGGGCCTGTGGCGCTGGCAGCTGGGGGATGGGAGTGGTGGGCGGGGGCTTGATGTGGGGCATGGCCAAGGGCGCTGGCGGCAGGGGCTGCTCCCGTGGAGGCTGTTGGGACTGCAGCGCCGACTGAGAGGCTGGCAGCTGCAGGGAGGTGTGAGGGTGCGCTGCGGCTGGGGAGGTCCCCAGAGGGGCCTGGCCTTGGGAGGCCTGGGGAGGGAGGCCAAAGGGCTGTGGGGGGCCTGGGTGCTGCAGCAGGGGCCCAGTCTGTAGGCTGTGAGGGCCAGGTGGGCCCTGACCGTGCAGGGTGGGCTGGGCATGAGAGGGTGCAGAGGGCTGGCCTGCCGACCCAGTCAGAGGCTGCAGAGGGGGGTGCGGTGAGGGATGTGGCGGGGGATGCGGGGAGGGTGGCCGCTGGGGGTGCAGGGCCGGTGCCTGTTGGATGTGGGTATGCGGAACAGGCGCTGTGGGAGCCTGCGGCTGGTTAGGGGCCTGGGAGGCCGTGGGGGAGCCCTGCGGGGGAACTGCAGTGGCAGAGGGCATGGGCCCTGGCGCAGGCAGCTGAGGGGTCCCTGGAGGAGCTGAGGAGGGAGCTGGGGTGACCCCAGTGGGAGCCTGCAAGGCTGGGGGCTGGGCCTGCAGCATCTGCTGCTGGGCTGACGAGTCCGAGTCACTCTCATTGTCCTGGGGGCTGGGGATGCTCGGGGACGTGCTGCGATTGTCCTGGTCGATGTCTTTGGGGTCACTGCTACCCTCATCGTTGACGCTGCGACTGTCTGAACTCTCTCCCTCGCCTTCAGATGGTGAGTTGGGCCGGCTGATCTCCTAGAATCAGAGAAGGGAAGGATGGAAGTCCCAGGAGGGCAGAGCCCTGTCTGCTCTGCACCGCCAGCGCTGGACACACAGTAAGGGTTTGAGCAGATGAAGTAGCAAGCTTGGCTCCAGAACCACAGGTTGTGCCCCAACCCAGCCAGTGTCAAGGGCCACTCCAGCCCCACACTAGGAGACAGGGCACGGCCACCGACTAGGGAGAACCCCGGCTGGGGGCTTCTGAAGAAGCATTAGCTTAACTCAGCAAGGCTCAGCGGCAAACCTCACCTGCGTTTTTGTCTTCTTGGAGCTGGTCCTGTCAACCTCCTCCGTATCAGAGGCCACCTTCTCCCGCTGGCGTTTGGTACTCTTAAGAGGGGAAGAGGCTTCCTCCTTCACCTTCTGCAGGGGGAAGCCCACAAGGAGCAATCAGGCCATGGGAGGCCATCCCATCAGCCTCAGCAAGGAAATGACGACAGTTTATAGACAACTTTGCTCCCTCATTCTGAGTTCCATCTCCAGGAGCAAAAAGCTCTAGAAGGGTCAACTAGGGCCAAGAAGGAACACGTATCTGGGGGTGGGAATGACAGCCAGCCCTCTGCATCTATGGGTTTGCATCCTCACATTCAAGCAACCGCGGACTGAAAATGTAGGCAGGACTATGATGGTTACATCTATACTGAACATGCACATAGTGTTTTCTTGTCATTGTCTCCTAAACAAGGCAGTGGAACCACTGTTTACTGCGTTTACATTGTACTGGGCAGTAGAAGTAACCTAGGGATGATTTAGAGTCTACAGGAGGATGTGACTGGTTACGTGCAAAACACTGTGTCAACGTATATGAGATTTGAGCCCCTGTGGATTTTGGTATCCTGGGCGGTGGAGGTGGAGGCTCTGGAGCCAATCTCCAGAAGATACCGAGGGAGGACTGTACTTGGCTCTGGAGGGAGCCATTCTAACCACTCCCCACACTCTCTACCTTTGAGAACTTGGGAAGTTTGAGACAGAGGTGGCCCCCAAGGGTTGGTGCTAGAGCCCCTTTCTCTAGGCCCCCAGCCTTCAATCTGCAGCCCCTAGGCCAGGACAATGCTGAGCTGCATCCTTGTGTCTGAGGGAGCTGATCACGAACGCCAGCAACCCAGTTTTAATGGAAGGGAGGGACAGAATAGCCCCTACTATTCCCCCAGCATCTGACCTTGGCCGACTTCTTCACTGTCTCTGCTTTACTGTCATTGCTGGAGGTGCTGGCAGCGCTAGGGGAGTTCCGGCCGCTGGAGCGGATGTCTTCATTGATGGGTGAGGTGCGACCATCAGGGCTGGCTGGCTGCTTCTTCCGACCACTGCGTAGTGTCGACATCTGCCCACCCAAACCGAAGACTGGTGACACCAGATTCCCGGTCCCCATGTGGGCCCACCTGAGCCCAGCCCACAGGAAGGAGCCTGAAGAGCACACCCCATCAGCCTCTCAGCAAATCCTAGACCTTGGCAAACAATAGGCTACCCTGCCCGTCGCTGGCTGCGTGAAGGTCTGTGTGGAGCTCAGGGAAGAGGTGGGGAAATGGGTGGGCTCATGCCAGAAAGCGGTTCTCAAACCTAAAGCACTCATCCCAAGGGACTGTCCTGAACAACGTGTGCTGGAAATGAACCACGCTTTCTGAGTGGCAGAAAGTCAACTGGGGCCATCTTTAAAGCACCCTACCCTTTCTGTTTATTCCTCATAATTGTCCATTCTCTCAACCAAACCAAATGAAATCAAACACCTGTGGATTTAATCTAACAGGACAGGAAGTGACCCAAAGAGATGAAGCTGTCAAATAAAGCTGCTCAGCTCCCCAAGCCGCTGAGGGCTTCAGCATGTTTCTGCAAAGCCATGAGGGCTCAGAAGAGATCAGGAGACAACGGTTCTGGCTGGTGGACCGCTCCCTTCTGAGTGAGCGGGGCGGGCCAGCCCTGACAGCACACAAGGGGTGGAGGAAGGTCCCACCCACCTGCCTGAAGGGGCCATAGGGGAGGCTCAAGGGAAAGACCCTGTCAGTACCCTCAGCCCCAAACCTGGAAACAGCCCCTCCCAAAGTCTCTGGCACATTTCCAACCTAGAAAACAAAGTCTCTTTATGGGAGGAGCTATGCAGTGAGCAGAAAAATGTACCAGAAGTTTCCAAAATGGGATCAAACATTTTTAAAAAACCACAAACACCCTAACACAAAAGAGCCTGCAAATTTAAAATAGCAGAGATTTGCTACAATGGAATTGACACCGCAAGAAGCTCCCAGGGCCTTGGAGAGCCTGCACTGAGCCAGAAGCTAAGAGTTTGCTATAAAATCCAGGGCGGCAGGCCGCCCTGGGGCCCCTCGAAGGAGAGAACAGAGCGCTCTTCCCAGCCCACAGGCAAGCTACTGCCTTGCCTCAGGCAAAGCAGCTCCCCTCCAGGGCTCTGTTTGGTAAACAAGACTTTCGCTTCCTCCCCTTGGTAGGCTCAGGCCTCGACACATCCCAGGAAACTGAAGAAGTTGCCAGGAGCCCCATGGCCTCAGGGGACTCACCGAGCCCCGACTCCGCCGTGTCCTCATGCTATGCTTCCCACTGAGCCCATCATCCTCTTCCTTGACGGGTTTGAACATAAACGGTGGTGGGTCCACAGGCTTCTCAATGGGTGGGAGCTCGCCGTATTTCTTGAAGTGGATGCGACAGTCGGTGCAAAGCAGGATGTTCTCCCGGCCTCCGTGGTGCCAATCTTTAGAGGCTGTGTGAGGGAAGTGGCAGGGGCCAGCCTTGGAAACCCTCCCTCTCCCTGCAGATGTCTGGGCAGAGGGGCCCTTCTGTGGGCTCTACCCAAACTTGATGCCACCAGCACCATGCAGTCCTGGGCCCGAACACCCCAGAGCTAGTGCTGCCCTGCTCCCCCAGGGCCAGGAGGAGAGGGATTCAGAAGCATCTGCTGCCCACTTCATCTCGGGGTGCCCAGGAAAAGCTGGTAGCAAGCTCCTAGGAACCACAGTGTCAACCACCGATCCCACTCAGCTTGTCCTGCCTACCAGTCAGTATTCCATACCGACTGCCAAGCAGGGGAGTAAAGTAAACTAAACATTTCTAACTTTCTCTAATCCCGAAGCACAATGCAAATATCAAATCAAGTACTGTCCCTGGCAGGCTTCCAGCTGGATGCATGAAATGTTCAGAACATAGAAGTGCTTGTGCCCCCGCCCCAACCCAGGGGCGTGACGAGGCCACTTACTGGTGGTGAAGCAGTGGCGGCAGGCGTACCCCTTCAGCTCCTGCTCGCTGTCCTCACTGTCGAAGTCATCTTCACTGGCTGAACTCAGGTCCACTGGGCGTGGCAGGCACATAGTGAGGGTGGGGGAAGACACCATTATACTCAGTCAAGGCGGGGGGGGGTCCCCTGTGACCTCTGGCCTGCTGCAGGCTCTGGCCACCAGCCAGACTGGCTGGCTGCACAGGCTGAGGTGGGACAGTGTCTGTAAAGGACCACTTCGAGCTCCTCAGTGTCAGTCACCAGAACAGACGGCTTATGCGTGAGGGGCCATACTTAAGGGCCTGCCCTGTCACTGATGCCCGTAACAGGTGAGTCTGAACTGGGACAAGTGCACCCATGCTGCCCCCCTCCCTAATATGTCCAGGCAATCCTGAGAAATTCCATCTTCACCGAGTGTCCCCCACCAGTCCTGCTAGGTGATTTCTGGTCACCTGCATGAGCAACACAGGCGCCCCTCGGGTTCAGCGTCCCAGGCCAGGACAGAGCTATAAGGTATTTTTGCTACATCCCAGTTTTTTAGGAGTGAGAAGGTGTGGGCTCCAGCACCATTAGATTGTACATCATACTGGGACCAAAAAGAGGATCTTGGTAAAGCAGGAGGAAAAAGAAGAAAGTGTTAATCTGATCTTATTACAACCAAAAGTGCAATGAGAATTCAAACAGGACATCAAGTACATCACCTGTCAAATGGAAAACCTTCCCAGGAAAAGGCCAAAAACATCCCAGGCCAAGACGTATATTTTTTGTAAAAACCTAAGATGATGTCGAGTTTATGAGAAATATTTAAATGTACAAATAATGTTCTAAAGTCTCCCTCCTGGATCCTCACCCTGTTCCCTACCCCCACCATAGGCCTATATTTAGGTCAGGTTTCACACATGCACTGAACATGGGTGCACACCCACTCATGTTTCCTGGAGCCATCAGCTCCTATGGGCCCAGAGTGGGACAGGCTGCCTGTGAACAGTCTCCCCTCCGCTCACTGTGGTGCCAAGACCCCTACTCACAGAATTCACTGGACGGGGGTCTGGAGGGTGTGTTGACAGGTGTGGACGCAGTGCGAGTCTTAATCCTCCTGAACACGGCCTGCCTGCGGTGCCTACGATGGGCTCGGGAGCTGGCTGCTTCGGGGGTCTTCTTCCAATAGTAATAGAAGGTGATCAGCTCCCCCTGCAAAAGAGAAGGGCTGACTATGAGGGAGGGCCTGGGGCTTTTCCGTGCCCCACCGCACCCTCTCTGCCACAGTGGAAAGCTGGGTGTGTAACAGCCGCACCAGAGACGAGAATGAAGACCAGTCGCTCTTGGAGTGGGGAGAGGAACTGGGCTTGTCCAAGAAACAGCCACTGAGCTGCCCATGGAGTGCATGAAGGGGGCCTGCCTCCTCAGTCCAGCACAGCTTGACTTCCAGACACCAAGAACAAGTACTTGTTGGGTGTCTGCTATGTCAGACCCCACCACCGTTGTAAGCATGGGAGGCACATCATCCACAATAGACGAAAAGGAGAGAAGATTCCTGCCCACGAGGAGCTTACATTCTAGCTCTGTGTACATGTGAGAGTCTGTGCATGTGTGTGAACACAGTGATGCTTTCTTTACAATAATGCCAGTGAAATCACACAGGTGTGAGAAGGAAATGCCCAGCCAGTTAAGACTCCCCCAGAAACAACCAACCAACCAAAGCAAACTGCCCAGGTGGTGAGGAATCAGGGCCAAGCAGGTCGGAAAGAACAGAGACCTCGCGCTCAGGAAACTGCTCCACAGCCTGGCTCCATCTGAAGGCCCACATCTGACATGCCGGCACGATGTCTAGAGGCAAGCACTGGGCTTGGCAAAGAAAGACTATGTTGACAAAGAAAGACCAAAAGAGGACAGACACAGCGGTGCTGATGCAAAGGTGAAATGTCACACATCCAAGGCCTTTTCATGGCCCAGCAGAAACAAAAGCAAGACATCTTTTTGGAAATATAGCAAACGTAAGCTTTTTAAAGAAAGGGCACTTTGGGCACCCCCAGCCCTCAGGGCGCTGCAGGCTGCCGTCTCACCCTACACACACAAGACGATTTCTTAAACAACCAAGATAAAGTCTCTTTACCTAAAACTAAAACTAAAACTAAAAAAAAAAAAAAAAAAAAAAAAAAAAAAAAAAAAAAAAAATCAGTCAAGTGAGACAGCACAGAGCACCCGGTTCCCCTCCAAATCAACACTGTAGAAAGTCTATTAGCTTGGCGACTAGATGCTGGGAGTTGTCTTGGAGGTACCTGTACCCCCACTTTGCCTCATCAAACACTGTCTTGTGAATGGAGGAGCCAGAAAGAGAGAGGGCAAAGTGGCGGGGGTGGGGGGGGGTGGAAAGACTAGTGTTAGAAGGACTAAAATAGACAAACCAAATAAAGACATGTAGCTGCCACGTGACAAACTCACCCAATCAGACCAGGTTTCACCCAAAACACCCCCAGAGGAAACGGCCTCAGAACACAGTGACAAGAGAAGTGGGCAGATTTTAGGTGGGGGAGTGGCTTCTGCAAGGCAGGGGATGCCTGTGCATTTAATACTTGACTGCCCACAGCTGCATCTTATGCCTGGACATTTTTCTAAGAAGTGGGACCACGGCTGTGGTCCCTAAAGGAGGGCTGGAAGGGCTGGAATGCCCTGAAGGAGGGCTGACTGGCCTATAAAACCCATCACATGGATCTCCTGGAGCACTGGCTGTGTCTCAACCTCCTCAAGCACTTAACAAATCACTCCTGATCACCAGTACCTAGCAGATGAAGCATAACCCCAGGCCAGCGGGGCCAGGGAGCCACCTCGGGACAAGCACACTCATGTCCCTACACGTATGTGTATGCGCCCACCCCTCGGTTCCATGAGATGGGAACTGAATGATAAGGGGAAATGCAGATACTGCCGTTGGAATTGCTGACTGGCTTCTCTCTCCCATGCTAGTCTAGGAATGCGGGCTACAACTGTCCCAGTGGGGATGAGCATCCTGGCCCCTAAGGTCATCATCTGTGAACATCCTGGCTCTTTTCACTTCCCACTTTCCAGACTTGGAAATGCATTTATCTATACTGCTCCTAGGTGTTGGCTAAAGGGAAGATTCATAAATCCTGCTAGGGGATTATCACTGCTGACATAAACGCTGACCTGTGTCTGGTTTTCCTCTGAGAAAATATGGAAGAGAAGTCAAGGCAGGGAGCAGTCCCACTCCAATACTCTGTCCAAGTGTCGTGCTTCATGAGCTCAAAAGGGCAACGGGTGCTGTGGTAAGTCACAGCCCATCCCAGAGCTTGAAAGCAGCATGAGAAAAAACTCACAGTGGTTCCTTCTACTTCCTCAGTTCAATCAGACCAGGTTTCACCCAAAACACCCCCAGAGGAAACGGCCTCAGAACACAGTGACAAGAGAAGTGGGCAGGGTGTCTGCTATGTCAGACCCCACCACCGTTGTAAGCATGGGAGGCACATCATCCACAATAGACGAAAAGGAGAGAAGATTCCTGCCCACGAGGCGGGCGTGGTGGCGGGCGCCTGTATTCCCAGCTACTCAGGAGGCTGGGACAAGAGAATGGCGTGAACCCAGGAGGCGGAGCTTGCAGTGAGCTGATCATGCCACTGCAGTCCAGTCTCGGCGACAGAGGGAGACTCCGCCTCAAAAGAAAAAAAAAAAAAACAATTATATCTACCAAAAACCCAGCAATTCTTCTGCTATAGGAGACAAAAGGGAACAAAAATGGGAGAGAAAAATCAAGTAAGAAGATGGTACCTGAGCTTCTGCCATAGCTCCGAGTCTTACCTGAAGGCTGTCAGAAAGCAGCAACCTGACCTTTCTAAATAGCATTTGTCTATAATGCAATATTGCTACACACAGTTATAATCAATTATTTCTATTTATCAAATACGTATGTTTTGAAATGGCTTTAAAAGATAGTAACCTGCAGATCCCAGGTTAAGGGAAGAAGCCAGGCGCAGCAGTTTACGCCTGTAATACCAGTACTTTGGGAGGCTGAGGCAGGAGAATCACTTGAGGCCAGGAGTTCAAGACCAGCCTGGGCAACATAGTGAGACTTAGTCCCCAACCTCAAAAAAAAAAAAAAAAAAAAAAAAATTAGCTGGGCATGGTAGTGTGTACCGGCAGTCCCAGCTACTTGGGAGACCAAGGCAGGAGGATTGCTTGAGGCCAGGAGTTCAAGACGAGCCTGGGCAACAATCTCTACAAAAAAGTTTAAAAAACTAGCCCAGCATGACAGTGGTGTGTGCCTATAATACCAGCTATTGAGGAAGCTGAGGCAGGAGGATCACTTGAGCCCAGGAGGCTGAGCTACGTAGCTCACGGCTGACCTGCAGTGAGCTACGACTGTGCCACTGCACTCCAGCCTGGGCAACAGGGCGAGAGCTCAGCTCTTTAAAAAAAATAAGACTTAAAAACAAGAAGTCAGAGTTCAGTGAGGTAAGAAACTGCCCTATGCTAGACAGAAAAAAGGCTCAACTTTCAAACCTTTGCTCCTGGCACCACTGTTCTCTGCCAACAAGTGAAAAAAATCAAGACAAAAGAAAGAAATCTAACATTGAAATCAACATCAACTTTTTGTTGACACTTAAGTAACACCCCTTAAAGAAGTAGCAGAGTCCAGAACAGGTTTCACCATCTGAGTGCCAAGGATGAAAATGACCAGACAAAAGGACTGTCCTCCACAGCAGTGAAGTCACAGGTGGTAAGAATGGTAAACTTACAATTCAGGAAGGTGACGGACTGACCAGAACTGTCATACACTGCTGGTGGAAATACAGAATGCTCAAACAATTATATCTACCAAAAACCCAGCAATTCTTCTCTTATTTACTCAAAAGAAAAAAATAAAATTCTCACACAAAGACTTTTCCGGATCCATTCATAGAAACTATTCTTTTTTTTTTTTTTTGAAATGGAGTCTCACTCTGTTGCCCAGGCTGGAGTGCAGTGGCACGATCTCTGCTCACTGCAAGCTCTGCTCCCCTGGGTTGACACCATTCTCCTGTCTCAGCCACCCGAGTAGCTGGGACTACAGGCGCCCACCACCACGCCCAGATAATTTTTTTTTGTATTTTTAGTAGAGACAGGGTTTTACCATGTTCGCCAGGATGGTCTTGATCTCCTGACCTCGTGATCCGCTCGCCTCAGCCTCCCAAAGTGCTGGGATTACAGGCGTGAGCCACCGCGCCCGGCCAGAAACTATTTTTAACAGTCCAAACTGGAAATGACCTAAAGGCCCACGAGCAGGAGAATGGATAAACAAACAATGGTATCCCCACATTCACTAGACTACGACTTGGTAATTAAAAGGCACAGACCAATGACACATGCAACGACATGGGTGACTCTCAATGACACCATGCTGCATGAAAGCAGGCAGACAGGACGGTGGGTGCTGCACGACTCCTTTCCAGAAATCACAAAAACCAAACTAGTGGTTGCCGAGAGCCTGGAGGGTGGGGGACAAGAAACTAAAAGAACTCAGGCAAGCATTCCGGGGTGATGAAAATGCTCTATAAGTTGAATGTGGTGTCACTGACACAAATGTATACAGCGGTCAAATCTCACGAAACTGTGTACTTAAAGTGGGTGCATTTTTATGGTATTCATACCACATATGACAGGCATACCAATTTTACGTCAATAAAGCTGACGAAAAACAACAACAAATCCAGGCCAGGTTTTATTAGCTGCCTCTCAACCACTGTTACGTCTACCAAGGGATTCAACACTGGAATGGAGCGAATCTAGGATTGGAAATGGCATACTGGTGACTGCATGGGTGGCAAGGTCTTGAGCACAAACAAAAGAACATGTCGGGGAAAGCTCTGGTTCTACAAATAGGGAATGAAGCAGCTAGAGGCCTCGCCAGAATGAAGTCAATTGAACTTTAATCAAACATGCATAGTGTGTGCTGCAGAGACCTGCTGCACATAAATTCAGGGAACAAAAGCTGTTGCAGAAATCAATAGCTTACTGAAACATTAACACAGGCAATCATTAATCAAAAGGCAGCTCCAAAAGGCAGCCTTGCAAATTAGCTCCTGATTTTGCTTGCAAGCAAACACAGAGGTATAAATGTTGTCGACATGAATGGCCTATAATGATCATTTTGCTCCCGATGCTCTCACCTCATCTCACAACAAGGTCTCACAGTCAAC